TCCTATTTAGGTTGATCAGGAAATGCCTGGCAAATTTTCAAACAAAGCTACTCAACTCCTTTTTTAATTCTCTTTTCTCCACGGGCTCAATGGACTTCAATCCCTCCAGGGAAAAAGAGCATTGCCACCTTGCCAAGACCCTGGGTCCTCCAAAGGTATATTTAGAAAACAAGCAAACAAAAAAAAAGGGCACTGCTAATTCACAAGGAAATCATTTGTTGGAAAAATGGCAAGGATATAAAGCTTTGTTTTAGGGCTACTGAAGCCCTAAAGTACCCTGAAGTACCAATATGCAGGAGAAGGGAAGCTGAGCGAGGTGCTACGACAGAAAGTCCTGGAAACTGTGCGTAAAATTATGGGGTGAATCAACATATTTGCTAATTGCTAGTCTATTGTAAAAGAAGAAAAACCAGGCAACATGTGGTAACTTTAGTCAGCATTTCTGAACGGGAATGATAAACACCTCTGCCTGGCTCTGGCATTTATCAGTACTGAGATATTATTACCACGTAGAGCCACAGCATGGTTACTGTTATCATCAAAAAAAAAAAAAAAAAGGAAAAAAAAAAAAAAAAAAGAACCAGCTAATCTTAATGGTTTGTAAAGCCGTTACCTGCACTGGTCTGACATTTATCATGATCATTTTACCACATGAGTCCTACATTGCAAAGGTATTTTATCTGGAAGGGACATCACTATGAATTATTATTTGCAGCTAGGTAGAAAATTGTATGTTGTAGATACCTTTTCTCATTATAAATCACAGTCACATTTCACCATTTCCCACACAAAGCTGCTGAGCCCAGGCTTTTTGCCATAACACTTACTCTCACTCCGTTTTATAGTTCCATGAAAATATTGGGCACTCTTTCATTAAAATGGTTCATATTGTTTTTTTTTTTTAAACGCCATATACGCTTGTTTTCTTTTTTTTTTCTTCTTTTTTCGAGTATAAAAGAATTCATTTTTCCACTCTAGAAACTGAAGAGGATAAACTGTTCATTTTTTTTTAAAGCTTACTCTTGCTTCAGTTTTAGTGGCTGGGCTTGTCTTTACTCTTGACCTTGTTGACGGAACATTTAACAGATCAGATGCAAGATCTTATGTTTCCATTGCAATACCTATGTATTTGCTTTTCTGTTGTAAAGCCTTGAATTCTGCTTTCATAGAATTTTTCTCCCTTGGATTCCTAAATAGTAAAATTTCTGCGTGTGTGTGTGTGTATGTGTGTTAAATTCTCCAGCAAGGTCTAGAAAATGAAAGAGGCCAAATCTGATAAACACTTTTTTTAGTCATGAAAATTGCAGGGAATCTAGGGAAATGATTCACATTTGAGAAAGTTAGACTGTCTTTTCCCTGAATGGATTTCAGAAGGAATAAAGTCATCAGAATCACGTATATCGAATAAAGAGCGAGAGGATGTTTAATCCCTTTTTTTTTTCTTTTTTTTTTCTTTTACATTCTGTGCAAAATATGGAAGATGTAGGTGATAATTTCAGCAGATGAAGATATTCTGCAGCGAGTCGCAGATGGTAGTCTATGCAATATTTTCATAGAACATATATTTAGAATTTGGGTTACAGTCTTTAAAAATAGGGCTGCCTCCCTTTTAACGGAGCAGAACTGTGGAGATGCTCTCTTGTTTATATTTAAATGAAGAATGCATTGAGAAAAATCACTTAATATTACATAAGCTCTTTTGTAAATGAGCTTGAATAAACATTTGAGCATAGGGAAAAAAAAAAAAAAAAAGCCACGATGTGTCTGCAACATTAACAGTGGCTGGGTAAAAATGAATGAAGAAGGTAACCTTTAGCACCCGTGTCCATAAAGAATACTTAAGCAAATCCCGCTGAATCTTTCTTTTAATCATTAATTTTAAATGGACGGGGATGTTTACAACAAGCCACTTTGTTTCCGAGCAGGAAGCGCCAGGTTTATCTCCAATAACTCACGTTTTGGGGCAGGGCTGCATGTCTCTAACCTGACATGCATTCATTATTTTGCAAGGTAGCGCAGCCTGACCCCCGGCCCCCCTCGGACCCGCTGCATTATTCATGTCTGATTCACTTTGTATAGTTTTACTGGAGGACCCATTTCCCTTTACCGGGCACTGCACTTGCATGGGCATGTTTAATGTTAAACGGCATTTAGAGCTCACATTAATGCCTAATTTTATCACGAGTCAGAGTTTCTTTTTTTCATGCTCTCAGAGCTGAATTGCTGAAAAAAACACTGATTTATGATTCTGCATAAAACATCAGCCTATTGATCTGTCACCTAATCTGTGTTTTTTTTTTTTTTTAAGCACACTTTCCTCTGATTTCCTTTCCCGGCTCTTCTCACCTTATTTTGCTTTTTTGGATACGATTTCTGCTGTGGTTAAAACGTCACACACTGTTGCTGCAGCAAAACCTGCCTGCCAAGAGGTTTATTATTATTATTATTATTTTCCTCCAACAATTCCTGACTGATTCAGCTGTTGAGAGAAAGACAGGTCTTGTTTGGGGCTTTTGCCGTTTATTTTATTTTTTAAATGGGGAACTGAGTTAGGTGGATTTTCGAGTGCTAATGAAATTGTGAGACTTATGGCGCTGGCTACAGCCAGCCGGAGTGTGGGCAGACGCTCCGCGCGCCTCCCCACTGTGCTGCTGTGCAAGCATCCCCGCTGTTATGTTTGCTATAGTTTTAATGTCTGTGAAAAATTCCTGATGCAACTAAATTATGTTCTGCCCTCTCGATGGTATAAATAAACACCCAACTTAGCCAATTCGTCTTCCTCTTGCCCAGTGCAGAAGTGAGCCCTGTCACAGGAGGCTTAACCCCGCTCCTCGATAGCTTTGGGGCTATCAGGGAAAGCAAACTTGCTTCAAAGAGAACACACTTTGGGCTTGATTCATTTTTTTTTTTGCTTCAGAGATGTCAACTGTGCCAAAACTCTCTTTTCGTTCCGTTGGTCTTCATGTTGTGGCAATCACGCTGCTTAAAATACACATGCACATACACACATATTAAAAAAATTCCTTATGCCACTTTTAATGTCAGGATATTTTAATGTTACTATATGCAGCATAAAGGTCCCAATTTTAATCACTTGCGCTACACTATGCCAATCTTTTTGTGAAGATGCATTGTGTAATACTTCCTTGTTTTTTCTTTTTTTAAAAAAAAATCTATAAGAAGTGCTCAAACTAACTAATGTTTGCTATAAGGAAAATAACCAATTTGTGATCGGAATTGATTTTACTTTTTATTCATGCCTCAGAAATAGACGTTGTTGAAGAAAATGGGAATTGCATGAAACCTCTCTGTATGGGCAATTGATAAATTCACCCTACGCAATATAGACAGTGGAGTTTTCAATGAATATTCATACAACTTTTGCAATCCGTTAGCAAGACCTCAGACAATGAGTTTGCAACTTGGTCCTATTTAGCAAAAATATATTTAGAATTAATGGCAGGGTGCGGGGAATGAAAAAAAAAAAAGAATAGCGGCACTTCCAAAAGTTAAACTTTAATGCCTCGAACTCCAGGTGCCAGAGTTGGAGGGAAATAACCAATAATAGTCATTTTTTACATATTTGATGGGCCTGATTATGCAATGTGCAACTCTAAATGGCTTATAGCACATTGTAGCATGGTTCCATCCCATTGGCTGCAGTAGGGTGCAGGCAGATGGATGACAGTGACA